GGACATAGCATGACGTGTGTGTGTGTGTTTGTGTGTGTGTGTAAATGTTAAGTGGTTGTGATGAAGGTATACATTTAAGAAAGAGAAATACATACACATGTAAGTTCTGTAAACACTGTAAAATAGTATTTGGGTCAGAGGACAATTATTATTGAAGAATTGAAAGGAACAGATGAACATGGGCTGGAGGAGTTAAGAAAGGTTTAAGGTAGCGGAATTTGACTTCTGTGACATACTAGTAGAATTGCAAAGATGGCAAGAAAAGGAGAGGGTATTACAGAAAGAAAGAGATGAGCAAATGTATTTTCCTCTCTTCTTTGGTAGCCTCTCTTATACTAGAGATTATAATCATCTCCCCCTCTGCGGTGACTCAGTCCCTCCCGTCTGTCTCCCTTCCCTATTCCCTTTCATTTTTCCTTCCTTCTAGGGAAAGGAGTGTGTATACCAAGACGGTACCCCCCCCTATTCAAATAAATGAGTGGTTTTTCTCCCTTCCATTGAATTTGGATCATAATGCTGTGCTCTCTATTCTAGTTTTCCAGATTTCCTTTGCATAATTAAAAATGTAAATGTTAAGGTATTTTTAGTCCTTAAAGAATTAATCATTCACATTATAAACTCTTCCCTCTCAGCATATATGGGTCTGAAGAGATAGGTCAGACCTCCAGCCTCCAGGGGAGTATCCTCAGTGTTTGACAGATCAGAGGGAGCTGACAATGTAGGAGAAGCAAAACTATGGACAATGCCCAGTCATTGTTGTTTTTTAATATTTGTTTCTCGGGACTGTTACTGGGGCACCACTGGCCTTGTCTTGGGGGCAGTGAAAGTAAATAGCCTAGAAAAGCACCATATAAAATAGGCAGCAGCTGCAGAATATAAAGGAGAGGTTGCAAGCCAGCAGGCAACAGACTTTTTTTTTTTTTCTTGGCTCACCTAGGATTAAAAAAATGAAATAAGCCAACATTAAAAATGTGGGGGTCTGGGGGAACTGTAGTTTTGACTTCTCTTTTAAAAAAGTAGAAGGTGACTCCAGGCCCATATCCTTCAGGGCAAGAATCTGCTGGAACCAAGTAAGGACCACCCCTTCTAGACCAAGCATATTACTCCCATGTGTCTCAGAATGTTTGAGGGTGCTTCCAGTGCCGTGGGGTCTCCTTCACTCTTAGTTGCTATGCAGGCATTTAAATTTGTCCCAACTATAAAGCCTGAGGGCATTATTTTCAAAGTCCATGTAACACCTACAGTGCTGTCAAATATATGCAGATGCCTGAGCCCTGCCCTGTGCTGACTGACTAATCCAAAGCTCTCCAGGGGAGTCTTGTTCAGCCAGCATCTTATAACAAGCTCACTGGATGACTCATACACAATGTGTGTGCCTGAGAACCACTGTCATGAAGCTGCTTTTGTCATTCACTCTACCTAAGGAGATGGCTGGATTGTCATCCTGAGGGGCACAGGTGCAGGAGGGCTCCAGTGCTCACCTGCCAGTAGGACCAAGGCTGCAGTCAGCATAAATTGGTATGTTCAGCCACGTTGCAAAGCACATTACAATAGCCCAATCGGAAGGGTCTAAAGCCTAGTACACTGTGTGACCTGCCTCTGACAGGAGCGGATACAATCCCCATGGTAATTATGGATGGGAAAGATTAGAGTTCCATACACTTCAAGGTGGTCATGTGCATGCCGGGTTAGGCGTGTGAGCCATAGTGTGTGATCCAACCTACCTTTCCTAACCCTGTCGGAAAACGTGCCAGATTGTTACTAAACGAAAATCAACCCTCTTCATTTAGTTTATATATATATATATATATATATATATATGTAGATAGACATAGATATATAGATATATAATATATATTTTTATATAACATATAATATATTATATATTATATTAAAATACATAATATATAGTGTATTATACATATATATTTTAATAATATATATATTTATAATTTATAATGTATAATACACACACACATGCACACACGTATGTTTGTGTATAAAAGAAAGCTCTAGTTGGTCTATAAATACCAATTATAAGGGGAGGCTAAGTGTTCATGTTGGACTTAACTGTGTGTGAATTTTTTATGCAAAAAGCATCTCTATAATTTCCTTCCTCACCCCTCCTGTGTGTAGACTTTTGTTAAATTATGATTTACTGACTCCTCATTATGAGTTTTATTGTCTCACTCACCCATCTGATCGACTTAGGTGGTATATTTATTATATTCCTCACAAAAAAATAATGAGCAACTTCAAGTTGGCCAAGAACCTAAATTTAAGTTGATTTGGGTGTGCAGCCACCAGTGCTAATGAATATTTAAATTTTCCTTTGGCTTTCTTGGCAGAAGACCTAACCAAGAACTTGAGAAGTCTAAATGTGAATTATTGGCCCATTGTAGACTGGCCTGAGAGACAGTGCAGAGCGGCGGCCATGGTTTCATCTCTTGCAGCCAGGATTTCACCTTCAGACTGCCAATTGTTGTTCCCCAAGGATGCTGGACAGTCTTCCAGCCTTTGGAAGTCATCATCAATCATGAAAACCACTGCAGCCTGCCTTCCAATTTTAACCCTTAGAGTGGCTTTCCTAGTCTTAGGCAATTTGATTGGTGTTCTCTAGAGTAGGAAGAAGGGAAGCAAGGAAAAGAAAGCAAAACAGTGGTCTCAGCAGCTGCTCAAATTTGGAAATAAGGGCAGAAGTGATTTCCAGAACTCATTTTCTACCATGAAAAACACTGAAGTCGCCAGAATTTAAAATGAAGGATGTTGGGTCAACTTCCCTTATTGGGAGATGTACTCTCGATTCATCACAAATAATAGGAAGTCAATTTTCATCACTATTTTGGACTTCGTGAACCTAACAAGTATGGGATTAAAACTGTGCTACCTAAAAATAATAGAGAAATATTTCTAGTTAGACTTGTAAAATACTTCGTCAGTCAAGCTTCCTACAATCCTCCTATTAAAAGCTACGAAGTATGCCAGGAGCAAAAAAAAGACACAGCTGGAAAGATGTCAATGAGATTAATGAATGTTCACTTTCTTATCTCTTTGTCTTATGAATGTAGCGACCCTCATGCCTTCACCATCACAGTTTCACATAGAGAGTAAGGAGTTCTACGGATTGGGCGTTAACATTGGGAGGCCAGTACTGAAAATTTATGTGTTTGAACAAATGTTTTAAAAGCCAGTAGGAATAGTAACCTACCTGGATCAAGAGTGTGGAGGGCAAGTTTTGAAGCTGCACCAAATGTGGGCTAATTGTCAAGTAGCACATTTTACAGACCCACTAACCTTTAATATTCTCAGGCTAGTCAGTTCAAAGATTTGTCAGAAGAACAAAGGGAAGACAAGCTTTTATTAAGTGGGAAAATAGTCAAGTTGAATGCATTGACAAGATGTCCCAAAAGCTCTGATGAAACCGATAGAAACAGGTAACATGGACCCGCCCAGTAGATTAAATGGAAGGCTATCCCATATTCATGGAAGATGTTAATATTGTGGTCCTATACATGAACATTCTGAATTTCAGATTGTTAAGCCTTTGGAATTCTTCAAAATATGTGGAATTATACGAAGACATTTGTTGGTGTGAGAATTTTATGTACTCTACGATGACAGACTTTCTCTTTCCAAGCTACCTCTCACAAATTATTTCACTCAGGGGTGTGTGCAGCCAAAAGAACTCTGATCCACACTGAGAAACCAGGGCAACGTGTTTTCAATGAAGAGACCCACTCTTCCTAATAGCGTACAGCTTCCTGTTTTGCTGGCAACTTGGAGGGCATGTTTGATAAATATAAGACTTGATCCTTGTCCTCAAGAAGTCTGAAGTTCTGTTCGGGAGACAGTATATGCCTCGTGTGCTTGAATAGCTTTCCTGATACGAGGCAATTAGTGCTCAGGAATGGAAGAGACCAAAAGTGGTGTGAGATTTAAGATCAGTTTAATTCTGGTCATCTCTATTACTCTTGCAAAACACTGTTTTCTAAATTTGTATGATTTTATCATAGAGGGGTTTCGGAGTCTGATAGGTGTTTTACTAAGTGATACAACATGACATAATGGAATGAGGGGTGGACTAAAAGCCAGCAAAATCTGGATTCTTGTCTCACTTTCCTCAGTGGGAAGCTGCAGGGGGGGAGGGTTCCAAAAAGTCACTTATTTTCTTTGAATGTCAGTTTCTACATTTGAGAGAGAGAGAGAGAGAGAGAGAGAGAGAGAGAGAGAGAGAGAGAGAGAGAGAGAGAGAGAAGAGGAGAGGCTGCCTTCTGCACCTATCTTATATCCTTTTTGTGAGGATAAATTAGCAAAATTCAATGCTATAAAACAAAAGAAGGCACCACTGTTATTAACTAACTGGTTACATCTAACTACCACCTGAAGTTATTTTTAAAATGCTTTTCATTTATGCTGTGAAAGTTGCATTTTGTGTATAGACCTCTGATAATACATAAATAAGTATTTCATATAATGTCATTATGAAAATAATACTGTGCATTTTTGAGGCTATATTATACGGTATTCTCTCACTTGATTGTTACAAATATATTTAGAGCAAAAATGATTCTTATATCGACTTCACTTCTATATAAAGAAACTGCAGCTCAGCAGCATTAAGTGCCTTAGTTTAAGAAGGTGGAGCAGATAGGACTGGACTCTGCTGTTTCTAACTTTTAATGCAATGTCCTTTCTCCCAAAAATTTGCTGCCAACATCTAGCCAGATTACAGAAAGGAAATGAGGCTTTTAAAGACTGTGTAAAAAAGGAATGTCTCAAATACTGCTCACCCTTTTAAATATCTGCCTGAAATAACTTCAATAAGTCTTAATCATAAGAACAAAATGAAAGCATATTTTAAATGCACAGATATTGTTTTAAACATTCTCTTCCTCTTAAATAGCATCATTTCATAGCAAGATGTTATTTTTTTCCTAACAACTCTAAGTCACAGATTGTTTTTCTGAAGGGCGTTCATTGTTGCCCCTTCTGTCTTTTAGCAACAGATCAACTCCTAGCAACCATGATCGGATACAGCGTCTACGGCAAGAATTCCAGCAAGCAAAGCAGGACGAAGATGTAGAAGACAGGAGACGTACCTATAGCTTTGAACAACCCTGGGTGAGTATCTGGTTCTTGGGCACAATGGATAGCTCTGCAACTTCCTGCGGTAAAAGCCGGTAAGCTATGACTTCAGTTCTTAATGAAATGAGACAAGGTGGAGCCAAATTCCTTTGACCTTTAACATACTGACCTTTCCCTCATTTCCATCTGGGTTTCATCATTGCTAATTTCATTTTATATCTTGTTGCACCATCTGTCCATTGCACAATAGGTTTCATTTGCCTTATGACAAGCGATAGCAAAAGTATGCTTGCTCTCGATTATGCATTTTTTAAGTTCAATAAATATTTTTCTATATATATTTTACTCAGAATCAGAGCCAGAATAAATTAGCCCAACACATGTCTTCTGTGTATCTACTGTCCGCAAACTGCAGTATTTAGTCATTCTTATTCCTTTATTTTCCCTCAGCCCCCTTGTGTAGTTGCTGAATCCCTCTTATTTATCTGCCTATATCCCTGTTCTAGTCCATCTTCCACACAGCCAAACTTTGAATGGCCTCTCAATGCCCACAAGATCTAGTCCAAATTCCACAGTGTGGTCTGTCAACCCTCCTCAGTCCAGCCCCAGACTCGTGCTCCAATCTCATGTTTTGCGTTAGAGATAATGGAACTTCTGGGAATGGGAAGCATTGGAGCAGACTTGGAGATTCCACATGATGGGAATTTTGAAGAATCTCTTTGGAAACTTGAGAGAGCCAATGAGGGATGAATAAATAGGCTGCTGGAGGCAGGAATATCTAGCTGAAGGTATTAGTAAAGTCCAATCAACATGGTAATGGGACCATAGCCAAGCATACTTAGAGGACTGGGGATAGAAAAAACAATTTTTTAGATGAATTCTGTGGTGGGGACTGGCAAGACAGACATGGCAGAAAGTCAAGGAGAATACCAGTGACACGTCACCCAGTCTGGGTAGGGTGCTAAGTACAGCTGAAGGAAGGATTGCCCCAGTTGCCTAGGAAGACTCAAGAAGGGCCGTTAGTCTAGGGTTGATACAGCCTAGGAGGCTGTAATCATAGCAATAAGTTCTTTGGAGTCCAGGTCTTGGAGGTGGCCCAGGTCTAGGTGACGTGAAGGTCTAAGGTGTGCCATACACGCTTGTGTGTTCAAATAGAGGAGAGAGTAAGGCCCAAAAAGTTAATGAGTTCAGTTTGAAATGTTGGGGATATAATTACAGTATTTGGGAGAGTAGGAGCAGAAGGAAGAATGATGTTAGGAAAGTCTTGAAATAAAAACAACAACAAAAAATTGATCCTCTTTTCCTTGGGGAAGGGTAAATGACCCAACCGACAAAGAACTTAGAAGTTGGTTATGTAGGTTGTGGGGATGGAGAAAGGTAGAAATGTCATAGGGGACTTTAGTGCTAGATTGAAGGTTTGAAGAAGGTTGGGATTAGGACAGAACACTGTCCTGCTATCCAGGTGACCTGGCCCTCCAGGCATCAGTTTGAGGGGATGATAGAGTACTTGGTATTAAACCCCTTGTCAAAATCAAAACTTAAGAGAAAGCTGATTGTGCAAAGTAAAGCAGATGCAAGTAGAGCTTCTCCAAGTGTTGTCTACAGACTACCATCTTCAGCATTACCTGGGAGCTTGGTATAAGTGCACTTTCTTGGTCCTGCCTCACACCTACTATATTGGAACCTCTGTGGGTGGGGCCCAGGAATCTGTATTTGACAAGCCCTCCAAGTCCTTCTGAGACATGTTCAACTTTGAGATGCACTGCTATGGAGTTTATAGCACCTGAGATCCTTTTTGGCCCTAAAATCCAGCGCCTTCAATGTACTCTACACAAAGCCAGAAAGCTATAAAGGTTTTTGATCGTGGTATTTAGTGATCGAATTGGAGTTTGTGGAAGATGAATTTTGTGAATGAAAGAATAAGGAACAATGGGAGAAGCAGCACTAGTCTGAAGGACTTCTCCTTAGTTCAGGTGAGAAGATGAAGCTTTAGAACAGGCAACATGAGGCCAGCATCCAAGAGGAAAAACTCCTCCTGAAATCAATCCTAACCTGACTATGGGATGTTACAAAACAAGTTCGGCAGATTTAATATCTAAGGAACTCTCTAATTGTCCTGTGCAACAAGATTACTATTAATGGTATTTTTTATAAAGTATGTAGCTTATTTTTCTAGATGACCAAGTAAATTGAGTCATTTCCATGTAACAACATAACAGAATTATATTAATCTACTTATGTTGTTTGGCATAATTGACTCAATCTATTCCTAATAGGTTTCTTAAAGCAGGATTCTTTTGCGTTATGTGGAAAACATCCTTTACTGTGTATATTGAAAAGAATAATGAGTACAGTGGCAACCTGAAGGAGAAAACAGCAACTCCATGAGGCAGTGGCTCTCTCATACACACTGTTCCAACGTACAGAAGCCCTCCTGGGTTTTTCATTCCCCATCCTGTACCATGAGGGCCAACATTAACACCATTTCATTTTACCTGGGAATGTGTATTTCAAACCAGCATAGTCACACCATTTATTCTTTAATTATTTAATTCATCAAGTTTCTTGAATGCTTACTATGTGCAAGTGATTGGGTTTGGTGCTGGAAAAGAAAGATGAGAAAAAGAATGCCCTTAGGACTCTACAGTCGAGCTGGTTTATGATAGGGGTTTGCGTGGACCATTAAGCCCAGGGGAACCACGCCCAAATCAGTTGTGGGTGGTCAGGAAAGGCTTGAAAGAACACGTCTTAGAAGTTGCAGTATATTTTAAATGTCTAACTTTGAGAACAGAGCAACATGTTTGCGAACCAAGATTGATTGGGTTCATTTCTGGTTTATGACACTGTCTCTACATGCAAGATTTCCAAGTTTGTTTCAGGCTGAATGAGCATTTCCTACTTTTTCACTCTAGATGTTTTTCATTGGGAGATGGGGAAATGATTTGCTCTCCATTTTGGTTGGTTGGTTTGTTTATTTATTTATTTATTTATTTTGAATGAGGGCTCTGAATATCTTGGCATATGTTCCTATGTTATTTACTTAATATGAACAATCATGTTCGGAAAAATGTTTGAGAAAATCTTGTACATTTAGAAACTCAACTACTGAAGGTCATAGGTCAAGTTATTGTATAGCAAAATGCCACAGCAACTGTAGACAGACAGCTTGGCTTGTATTATCATTTCCTGTAATGAACGTGCAGGGAATTATTTGGATGACAGGCTGATTACCTTAGGAATTGAATAATTTCCTAAATTGTGGGTCAGAAGTTGACCTTTTCTTTTTAGTTATTTATTTATTTTGTTTTTCCAGCAAGTGGGATCTTGCTGTATACTCTCCATTTTACTGATCATGCAAATAAGCTTAAAGTGACTGTAGTTCTACTTAGTGTATTCATTGTCATACCAATCCTAATTGTTATCCTAATAAGAGCTGCTTAGTTGTTCAAACTGTAGCTTGGTCTGTGGTTTTTATTGTGTGTTTTGCAAAATGAGCTTTGAGTATCTTGGAATCTTGTCTCTCTTCCCGTATATATTCTGACCTTGAAAGGTCACTGTGTTTGGAAAGGATGAGACCATGATCTCACCCGCTGGAATGGTTTGTAATCATTTTAGTTTTAAGGAACCACAAGCTCATCTTCAAGCCGTGTGTACAAGCTTAGGCCATATTAGTTGAACTCATCATGCTTGTTAGAAATGCCCACATACAAAGCGCAACCAGATGTATCCTATAGAAAAATATCCAAGCTGATTACTTTACATACAGAGAGAGATTCTGCAGGACATTCATCCAAGTGGCCCTTTTCAATTCCCCCATTTCCAAAACGTTCTCTCTAAACTCTAGCACTACAGAATGCACCTGTTCCTGGGCTTTTGTTCAAAATAATGTTTGGGCCTGAGGGAGCTGATGTGTGGCACAAAAGGTCTTTAGATGAGCAGAGGTCCAGAAAATTTCCTTCGCTCCATAATTGAACTGAAGTCTCTCCCAAGTTGAGTAAGAGAAGAAGCCGAAAAAGCAGCTTCTTCCCCACGTAGTGCCAGGTGCAACATAAATAAAGCAGCACGTTGCTTTAAATCTTTTTAAGATAATGGAACAATAGCTGAGGTTAGGGTTATTATCACAGAGCTCAGATATGGACAGGACTTAGTGTTGCTTTTAAAAGAATTAAATTGCAGGCTGCAGACATAAGTACAGTGTGCTGTTAAAACTTTGCAGATACCTGAGTGTTGCCCACAAGGAGACTTGCTGGCTGAGACGACTGATAGATGGGATAATGGAGACTTTAATAGCTATATTGCTAAATCCTTCTCATCCCTGGTTGGTAGTGGCTGAAAGTAGTTTAGTCCTTCAGATAGAAAATTGATCCTCTGCGATGTGAATACCCTCTTCTCCTCCAAGCTTTCTTTCTAGCTGTCTTTAAACAAAACAAAACAAAAAAAATCTGACCTTTTCTCCATTTTCCTGTCTTAGACTTTTAATGGCTCCCTTACCATTTTAGGGTTTCTCCTGCTTAATTAGAGAGCCAACCTACAGTACAGAGCCACCATGCCCCCCTAGATTGCCTTTCCTGTACCTGGGGAATTTGAGAAAATGATGGGGTTTTTTTTTGTTGTTGTCAACTTTTTCAAGACTTCAAGGGTATCTGCTCTCATTTCCTCATAGTGGGTATCCATGCTTTGACTCAAAATATACCTTCTCACTGGCGGCCTTGCAGTAGTGTTACTCTAGTTCAGATTGAGTGGACGTCACCTCCCTTGGAAGTTGACCTGGAAAAAGCTATTCCTGCAGCAAAGGCATGCCCTATACTCATAGAAAAAGCCTTTGTGCTGCTGCCAAGTAGGCCCCTTTCTTGTAGCCCAGGGACCCATCCTTCTGGTCAAGGCCTCCATGACCCACAGGCCATCTTACCCGCAGAGGCCTCGGGTGTTGGAGGTTCATAAGGCATTCGCACTAGAGGGCTGGCTTGTTCATAGAGCTGCCCCTTTATTTTCAATGCAGCTGCTGCTGACGATGGTGGAAAATAGATCCAAACACT